TACCGCCGGCATCAGCCCCGGCTGAATCACCCGCCAGATATTCCCCGCACAAAGGACCCATTTTCCTCTGGTTTTGCCGTGCGGGTGTCACCGGCTCCAAGCCGGCGGCTCCTGGGGCTCCCACCCTAAAACCCGGGCCCAGGACCAAAAAATCCCCATTCCCACAAGCCTTTTTCCCTTTTTTGCATGAATGGGAAGCACTCATTTTATAAGGCAAGGAAAAGGGAAGGGGCTGAACAAAACCAGCAGCAAACGCACCCACAACGGCTGTTGTGGAATGCAAAGCGTGGGGCAGGGGGGTGCAAAGCCCCAGCCCCCAGCTCCATAAATCCCAAGTTTAGTGATTGAATTGTGCCCTGTGTGAATCTCACGTTGAAAGGGAATAAATCTCCCAGTGTTTATAGCTGTGGCTTTGTCACCAATTAGGAGGTTGTTATTGGATTAGATGCAAGTAGATAGAAGCCTCCCGGGACAAAGCCATCCTTGGGGAAAAGCCCAGCGGCTGGTGGGGGATGCACCGGGACAGCGTTGGGCCGTGGGGGCTGATCCTGCCGGCTGGGCTGGAGGCGGAGGCAGATGCTCCCAGGGTTTATCCCTGGAGGGAGGCACGTGGCCGAGGGTGGGCGCAGAAGCACCCAAAATTCAGCTTTACACTTCCCATTTGCCACAGTTGCGGGTTGCCAGGATCTGGCCCCCAAATCAGTTTGTGGTGACTCGGGGTTTTGGGAACAGTGATCACAAGGAGGGCCAGGTCTGGCTCAGGGCAGCTCTTAGGGCTGGGGCGCAGCTCCCAGGGGCACCCCCCATTTCAGCTGGGCTCCAGGGGGGTCCTTGGCAGGCCCAGCCACTGCTGAGCACCTCCACCTCATCCCAGTCCTCTTCGGCGTGTGCTTCCCGGTGCTGCCGAGGCACAAAGGAGCTGTGGTGGCCTGGGAAGCAGCATCGCCAGACACAGGACAGGGCTTCCACAGCACATCTGTCCGCACAGCTGTGCCGGGGGACCCAGGGATGCCACAGGGGACGCGGGGGGGGGTGACCTTCCCAGGCAGGAGCTGCTCCAGCGTGGCCGCTCCAGGCTGCGCACACGGGGTTGGAGGCGCACGCCCATGAGAGCTGGGGATCGGGGACATCGGCTGGGACCTGCCCTCGCTTTTAGGGCCCCCATCCGCCACCCCGCTCGAAGGGCAGCACAGGAAGCCGCGAGGCTGCGGCACCGGAGCCTCCATCGCTGGGGGGGCCGAGCAGCTCCGTGCCTCAGTTTCCCCACCGGGAGCGGAGCGGGGGGGACGGGGCCCCTCCGAGGGGATGCGATGCTCCCTGGTTGCTCCTGGGATCTGCTGGGCCCTACAGGAGGGGGCTCAGCACCATTTTCGTCCTGAGAGGCTGGCGGGGAGGACGTAGGCTGGGGGCGCGGAGCGAAGTCCCCTGCGCCCCGCGGGGTCGCACCCAGCCGGGAGGGGCCAGGACGGGGCTGCCTCGGGGGAAGGCGGCTCCTCGGGGCTCTCCCTCGGTTTCCTTCTCTTTCTAGTCCCCTCTCCTCCCTTGTAATCAGGATTCCTGGAGCCGGTGGGAGAGCGCTGCTTCCCTCTAGCGGCGCCGGCCCGAAGGAGGCTCATGGCGGGGGGCTGCGGGGCCCGGGGCTG